GAGAGAGAGAGAGAGAGAGAGAGAGAGAGAGAGAGAGAGAGAGAGAGAGTGAGGAGCAGATGAGTGTGGGATCGTGACCTTTCTTTTCTTCTCCTTGTATTAAATTTTGGTCCCAGGCGAAAGCCATATTTCTTGTCTCCGATTTTGTGCAATGGTGTCACCTGGTGTGCAACTCTATTCTCCCTTCTCCTTCCTTGTTGACGGATGTGGGTTGAATGCCTCAGTTTTGTTGGGTGCGAGTGTCAATCTTGAAAAGTGTGTCTGACCAACGAGGATGTGTGTCGTCTTTGCATGAACGAGTGGAGCATGAACGAGTGGGGATCCGATGAATGAATGTTCCACGATCTCAGAGGAATTCTGATCACCGAAGAGTTGCGTCGTACTCTGTAAGGAATTTGTGAGGTTGGGGAACTAATCAGTCCTTTTGATTGCTTTAAGTGTATCGGTTGGATGATGAACCCTTCGCAACCTTATTGATGTATGAATGGCTGGCTTGTCACGAGATTGCCTTAAGTTATGCCCGAAAGTGGTTTTTCTTTTTGATCTGATAGTGGCATGACGAACCCTTAGGGAACCATGGGGGCACCTGAAACGACCCATCAACGGGAAGCGAGTCTCGCGGACGCATGTGTAAGCACGATCGCAAAGACGCGTCTTCCACGCGCATCCACAGGACTGGCCCCCGAGGGCCTATGATGAAGTCACCCTTTTTTTTTCCGACATGGATGTTGAGATTCCCTTCTACGTCACAGATCGCGAGAGTCTGAGGCATCAACGGTTCCGAGAATATTGGGAACGAGGGCGTGCCTATCAAGCCACGCGACCCTGGTCCCGCCTCCCCGAGTTCCCCTTCTTCGCGGGAACAGAGCGAGTATGTGAATGGGATATTGAACGGGCCTTAAACGCGATTCCTTTCACACCCCGATTTCCCCACTCGCACGCACGACACGTCTTCGAACCAGGAATCGCCATCATCGAGACCAATTATCCTCCCCACCGCCTTGTAATCCCCTTTCACTGTCTAACAACGGTCCCTTGGTGCGCGATCGGCCCCTACTGGCCACAGACCCGTGCTAAGAGTGTCAGCAAGACCATATTTACCGCGCGGTGGGATTTGTCCACCGGACCCGAACTGAGGCGGATCAGCGATCGCACAGTCTCCGACTAAGACCAGCCTCGTCAGACTCCCAAGTCTGCTACGAGCGACGCCGATGGCTAACCAGCCAGCGCGACACTCATAGCATCCCGAAGGTCCATCAGATCCGAGACCGACCACGACGCCGATACTCACACCAACGGTAGCCTTGTGTCCCGAAGCCCCAGCTACCGATGCAACTCGGGATCATTGCCATCTTGGTCAATTACCCATTGAACTGGCCACAAGGAGATCCCAGTTCCGACCTGGGACTCCACTACAATTTCCTAAAATCCTTGGCACACCCCTCTTCCGCACTTCCGGGCCCCCATCCCACTCTGATCAGGAAGTCGCGCTGGGCGTGAGGTTGGGCGTCACAGGCCGGTAATTTCGGTCGCAAGTGGCTGCAGAAGGGGGTATGGCAGGTCAGACACCTGTTCAATGAGGAGACAGAGCAATGGCTAATTTTAGAAGCACTAAGGATTCTCCTCTCCAGCCTCCGGAAGGTAGAGGAACACAGGAAGGCTCTCATAGCTGCCATCCCAGTGGAGTGGGTGAGAAGCCTCACCACTCCCAAGGGTGATTGGCCTCCGGGCACATGGTGGACAAGCAAAAGCTGTCAGGATAGGTACTACTTGATCACTACATCAATGGATTCAGTTCATGCATCGGAATAACGGGACCTACCTCTGCAAGCATGCGACCCAGGGAACAGTCACTCTGGACACAAATCAGGAGTGGTGGGAAGTCAAGGTATCAGAATTTCGGTCTCATAGTAGGATCAGCACTTACAGAGCTGAACGGACGCTGGGCCCGGTTCCCAGCATGAGCTGTACTTTTTATTTCCACTCACTATGATGTAAAGGGACGCTGGACCCGTTTTTCAGCAGGTGCAGCTCCCCACCAATGGAACGGAGCCATTTAAAAAAAAAAAAAAAAAAAAAAAAAGAAGAAGGATCACCGTTCCTGGGGAAACCGAGAACGTCACTGTTTGTTACATGTTGCGCCTGCAACAGGCTGCACGGGCCATTTTCAGGCCCGTGACGTTTTCAGCCCGAAAGCCTGAAAACAAGGGCCTACAGGTCCTGTGTCGTTTTAGCCTGAAAGCCTGAAAACAAGGGCCTACAGACCCTGTGTCGTTTCAGTCCAAAACAGGGCCTTCCAGGCCCTGAGCCTTTTCAGCCTGAAACGTGGGCCATTTTCAGGCCCTCATAAGATTGACCTGCCCTGAAACTTAGGCACCAGACCAGGGTTGTAGCTCAGGCCATTTTTGGCCTATTTTCAAAACAACCTTTGTTTGAGTTTCAACCCCAGGGTCTGGCACGTTTTGGCATTGGCAAGAGCAGCCTCCTGGACGGACCAGCACTACATAAGACTGGCCCGCCCTGCAGGCTGCAGGAGTTCCTAGGTACTTCCCAGGCACTTCACGTGCAATTCAGGAGGCAGGAGGTAGTCTTCAGGATTCGGCAGCAGCACTCTGGAGGAGCGCTGCAGGAGTAGTAGTAGCGCTAGCAGTAGTCTTCAGCGCTGGGCGCCATTCAGCTAGAGTCGTACTAGAGAGAGAGAGAGATTGGGCGGAGGCCAGGGAGACTTACCTGCAGCGCCATAGCTCCAGCTTCGCCTTCGAGGTACCTGCAGCACGGCGCCATCTTCACACTGTCAGGTGAATACCTGCCACATGAGAGAGAGAGAGAGAGAGAGAGAGAGAGAGAGAGA